TTACCCCAGAAGACTGCGTTTGAACGTACCTCTGCAATAGACATACGCTGAAGTCAATGGATGAATATTAATGTGCTACGGTGATGTGTGTTCACGGTCCCAGCAGACTTGTAGTGTGCCATGAAGCTAAGTGATAATAAATAGTGACATTATATATGATTACATCTGTGACCTACAAGTGTTTGATTTGTATGGGGCAACAACTGCCATGCTAGCACAGAGCTTAACATTCAACTCTGCAACACTGAAACTCATTTTAAGTGCAATAATTTGAAGACACATTTAATTCAGTATTATAATTATAAGATTAAGCTGTCTTTCTCTTTTACATAGGCCTGTCACAATAATTACTAAATTGAGTCATTGTTCAATATATGAAAGCTGAAACAATACTTTGGATCTTTTGAATCTGCTTTGGATATTGTGTCCGTCGTATAAATAAGTTGTAGTATTATCATTTATCATCTTTATTTTCTTCAGCAATATATTGCACTTCAAATTGTTATTGAAACAGGCCTATTCATGATTAAGATGGCTTTTATGTTGGCACTCTAAGCTCCTAGCTTTATATATACAGCTTTTATTTAACATATTTTCCTAATCTCTGCCTTGGCACTAGCAACTAAAATGATCAGTGAAGGTCACATTGATGCTAGATTTGGTGAATGCGTGCAAAAATAGCATAATAAAATGACATACCCAGATGCCCTCTAGTAGTCACAATGCATTTATGAATTTTAACATAATTTCAGATATAGCATTACTATTGTCAAGTTATAACTGTTCTATTCCAGCTGTAGATCTGCGAAAACATTGAAACACACTGCCCAAAGCTGTAATCAGCACATGTGTACAAACCTATTGTTCAAAGTAACCTCTCACCCCTCTTTTTCCCTTCTTTCATAACTTCTTTCATAAATAAAACTGGTTATATTTCATCTTGTGTCTTGTGGGCGAGTCTTTGGACAGTGGGCCGTGCAATGGAGAACTGTGACGGATGAATTTTGGAACCTTTCTTCTATAATCAGCACTAAATCCATCAGAGTTGAAGGTTTGAGTAAGCCTTCAACAGCATTCTGTGTTTGCAATCCATATAAAATATACAGTGAACAGTATGTGTGGGGTGAGCTGCTGAGTGACAAAACACAGGATTAATAAAATAAAGACACTGTTTTCTGAGAACAAGCATTTTTTCTGCTCATTCCTTTGTAGCAAAAGTATGTGTTTATAAAAGGTGAATATTAGATTTGGGTTTGTTTAAGGGTGCTTTGCTGAGAGCTAAAAACAGCTCCTAGTATTAAACTAAGAGCTCAGACCATAAATCATGCATCCTTTATCTACACACAAACACACACTCATTCATGAGATAATAAAAACTGCAGAGTGAAAACAACAAAATATGGTATCACAGAAATCATATGAACAAGCAGTTGGTGTACTATCTTATTCCTGTTCTTCATGCATTGACCAATCAGCACCGTTTCAGCAGGTCAGATAATGAACAGCTCAAGGCACTGTGAGTAAAAAGACTATTAGATCAGTTGCTTGTGGTTACCAGTGAGGGGCAGAGCTGCAGCCAATCAGAAATCTGAAACTATCCAAACGATGGTACAAGATGATGGTCCAAGATGCTGGGAAACACTTCATATAGTTCTGACCCTATAATATTGATCTGGGACTTATCTGTAAAAAAAAACAAAAAAAAAAACATTGAACATTAAACTTGATTAAGTTAAGCTTTATTTGAAATACCATCTGAATTGTAATCTATTTCAAGTACTATTGTAAAACATTTTACAAATTATTCATTAATCCCATCAAAATCCTTGGTTTGATGACTTTGGGTCGCTTTTGTGCCTTTTATGACCATGAACACACCTTAATGCCAAGTGATGAAGTGAAAAGGACAGTTTTATATACCGCTGAAAGTCTTTAATTAGCGCCGTCTGATGGTATGGAGGTTTTTTCTCCAGATAAGATGACGTGACATGTTATATAAGAGTATTTATATAGTCCTACACACACTGCAGTCCCAAGAGATATAACATGAAAAAAAAGCCGCCAGTTCAAAGAGCATTAGTGACATCCACACAACAACAGCACGGGCTGTGGAGCAGAAGAGGGTCTATACATAGAGCTCTCATACAAGTAGCCCCCAGCTCTTCATTCAGAAGCACATATGTAGTTACACTAACACAGCAGCAGAGTCTGGCCTTACGAGAGACAAAAGAGATCGTTTCCCCGCTCAGACGATAATGAGATGAAAAGTGTATTTTTGCCCTGTGTCTGTCTGCACTGTCAGAGGGCCAGGACAAGGCCATGTTTAGTGAAGCAGTAAATTCATCAAACATTCAGTCAAGTGAGTGGGACATTCTGTTATTTATGTGTAAACAGAGAGATGGACAAAGTGTATAGTGCTTGGGACTGAACGTCCTAAATGTAATGTTACAGATGAAAATCCACAGAAATGCAAATACAATATAAAATTGTTTTAAAAGTTTTTTAAATCAATTCAATAAGATCCTGGGCCACTACTGGTAAACATATATCACATTAGTGTCAGAGTACTTCAACACTGTGCTTAGTATTAAGCATATGATCATACATAGACCACATACATACTTACTACAATATGTGCTGGCTTGTGGTGAACTCTCTGCAATCACTAATAGCAATAAAGCAGTATCACCTAAGAAAATATTTGACTTTCTGTGTACCACCAGATCCAGAGCATATAATAAGACTATTCTCTAAACTAGGGCTAAACCAGGTCTAAAATGGGACTGCTTGTTTTCTATACTATTTCTTAACAAAGACTAAATGTTTGATATGCAGCTGACTCCATGTACCATGTGAAGGTATAAATAGTTTAAGAACCACAGCAATACAACATAAAAAGATAAACTGCAAAATAATTGTATTGTGGACTGGATTGCTTATGTCATGTTTCACACATTCATCAGAAACATTAATATTAACCACGAGATTAAGGTCTGAAAATTAAAAACATAATCCACATTGAATGGCCAATACAGCAACACTGTTACTACATTAGGTGCCCTTGTATGTACTGTATAGATGTTCCTGAGTATCTGAAGTGAGCCGTTAGTGAAGGTATTATTAGTCCGGTCTGAACAGATAATTAATGCCTGAAAGAGGAGGGGCTGTCACAGAGAGACACGTAGCCAAAAATATCTCCTACTAATTTAACCATCCGGGTTTCTAATCCAGGGGGTCACACACCCACAACCCTACACTGCAGTGCACCCCCCCCCCACTGCTCCTCCACTGCTGTTCATCCACCTTCTTCTCCTAATGTGCAGTTTTGCCTCTGTGTACTTCACATATATAAAGCTTCTGTATCTATTAGTACAGTAAGGAAAACATAGAGTGCATTCACACTGAGGTCAGGTCTACCATAAGGACTCAACTAGGCAAAGGAAAATTCTGGAACACAGACTGGACACAGACTAACAAGGACAAGTTTGGACACACCCTTAGTTATGTTCCTTGCAGATGTCTTTTGGCCTTTGATTTGATTAAATTTTTTTACTTGATCCATAACAAACCAAATGAGCGTTCCTGGCATTGAACCTTTCATTTTATAATGATTGTGTCCTACATGCACCATATAGGCCTATACTACAAGTGGGTGCCATTAAAGGTGAAACTGTAACTTTTCTGTTGTTTATTGTTATACCTGCCATTTTCCAACCTATGGTATTAAACTCATCTATATCCACATAGACATCAGGTGATGCCAGAAAGCCAGCTTGGCCAGATCTATGAAGAACTACATGTACAAATGCATTTTTTCTAAGGTATGAGCAATAAAAACATCTGTATTTTAATAAAAATTACATAGATAAGTTGGTATAATGTGGAACATAAGAGTGATATACAGAGTGGAGATAGAAAAGTTAGAGTGTGCACCTTTTATATACGCAACTAATTTAATTTCCTCCATACCTGTTCTCCTGTGAAGGTCAGATACATTGATTTGTATATTCTGATAGTTTTCAGCTTTAGAAGATTTTGACCCATGTGTGTAAGTCAAAGGCAGAGTCCCTGAACTGTTCCCCAGTTGAATCATAAATGCAGTCTCTGAGTCTGAAAAAGAAACTGCACAATACACAGTTTGTTGTTTTTTTTTTTTCCATTATGAATGAGATTAGTTGATTTTTCTTCTGTATATTTCTTGAATAGCATAGGCTACTGTAATAAATAGGGATCGATCTGAAATCCAGCCCATTAAGCCAACATGCTTGTTAATGGAACATGTTTTTACCGCGAGATCTATGCAAAAATAACCAACCCTAAATACAGCATCAGTACCTAATAGATCCATGATCAGTACTGACCATTAACGCTGGCCTTTTATCTACAATTAATTGTTGTTTAAGTGAAACCTGAAACACGCAGCGATCACAAGTCCTATTACAGGGTAAAATGTATTCACTATACACTTACATTAATAAGTAATAAGAAAAGCTTGCACTTACAAATATGGGTTGATCTGAAACGAAAGCACGTGTTTCACTGACAGTAATCTGCTACCACCTGGCGGCCTGATATAATAGTAATACCATAATACGTAATCATGTTTACCATCTGTCTAGGGATAACATAAAAATAGTTAATTCTGGTACATTTACAGAAATGTTGATGAATGTACACTGTTCCTGCTAAATGGACTAAATAAATAAATAAATAAATAAATAATAATAATAAAATATAATTGTAAAATCCTGATTTATCAGACTCTTGATAACTGGCCAAAGTCAAGAGTTGCAGAGGCTGTTGAACTATGTGTGAAGATTTATCAGAAACACTTTGCCAGAAGCTCAGATAACAATTTTAGCTTGAGGTATGCCTCAGTGAAGTTCAGACAGCATAATACACAATAATACCACCATCAAGGTCCAAAGAATGGCTCATATAGAAATGTGGAGTATATGGATTCCAAAATAAGCAGCAGCTTTTCACAATCATTCAACACGTTTAGTAAGCAAATACCCTTTATTATGCCTGCACAATCTCACCAGACTGAAAGTTGTATATCAAACAATTCACAGATTTTGATACATAGAAAATTACTATAAAATGTCACTCTCTAATAATTCTGCTGCAACATCACATTTTTAACTTCCAAAATAAGGTGAAGCCTTTGCACACTTGTATTCTTGTAGCTTAAAAAATGTATTTGTCATCAGCTTTCACCTCAGCAGAAAATTCAGTTTACATTCTCCATATAAGACCATTCTGTCAAAAATGTTTTGAAAATAAATATAATAAAAAAATCAATAGATGATTAAAATCACAGCTCAAGATCATTGGTTTACACACAGGTTTTACCACATTCATTTGAAGAGGTTTGTAAAAATTAAGGAACATTTTATGATTTGGCTGAATCTATGCAATATTTTAGCCCAGTGAAACTCAAAATATCACTATACATATAATGAGTAGTCACTGCCTCTTCTCAATCATTCACTGTTGTTGGTTAAATTAAATGAATTCATCTTGTGACAGGAATGCTGATATGAACAGGTTTGTATTGTAGATGTGAGAACAGGGCTTGTGTTCAAATCGAAATGAGTAAATTGATGAATGCTCATCCACATGTTAATTCCATCAGACAGACACTACAAACCGGTGCAGTGTCTGAACCTGAGGCAGCAGTCCTACAGCAGTATTAACAGTCACAGGGAGAATAAAATAGAGTTCATTGGGTCTCAGTAGAAGACCAAAAATGAATTTTAAGGGACAGTAACATGAAAGGGGCTTCCTGGGATGTGCTCATCACCCCACTTGACTATGAGGATGTAGCTGCCCTGCTCTTTGACAGTGTAGGTGACATTGTACATCCTGTTGCCCATGTGCTTCACATACACCTCCTCACACGGCGTTTTTGGCCCATGCACACCAACCATCAACATGTTGGTACCTGTTTGAACAAAAGAGAACACACAATATTTCACTGTAGGTATAGTTTGCCTAATTTATAGGCATGTTGTTTACAGTTTATTATGCTGTAACTAGAACCATAATTATCACTTTCTTTTTATGTATTTATTAACCAAATGTATAGACAGCATTGCGTATGATAATTACCAGGGCACTAGCAGGAATATTTGTATTGTTTTAAACTTTGTTTTATGTCTTTACCTGCTTTGCTGCAGTCCACTGTAAATGCATTCTTCTGACCAACAAAAGCTTTAGAAAGGCCTGCGCCTCTGGAGATGACCTTAGTAGCATCTGAAGAGAATTTGGGCAAAGAGTTGAAACCCCCGCCCACTGCTGAGGACTTGGAGACTGTTTCCACAAGAACTGAGGAGGTTTCATGAAGACTATGGCCACCAGACAAACGCGGCCCTATAAAGATAGGTTTACGGTACAATTACTTAATTAAACCTAGACAATTTCATAAAGACCTGTTTCGTATCAAAATTGATTTAGTCTTCATACCTGTAACTTTAGCTTTGAATGGGCTACCAACAATGTGCTGAGGTCCTCCATATTTAATAGAGATCAGGTAGCTTCCTGGAGCCATGGGCGTGTAGAAGACCTTGTATCCCTCAGGACACTCCTGACAGTCCATCTTCACTTTGGACGGGCCATCAATGGTCACGGACAGGGCTCCTGCTCCCGCATTACATGTGTTAACGACAAACTCAGCTGGCACACCTGCAGGAATTGAATACATTAATTTAAAAATCACATTTTCTTTTGTTCTTCTAATAATCTGATGTATTATTGTATTATGCAAACCTGTGATACCACCCTCCAATCCAGCCCCAAAAGCAGACACCATTCCAGGATCACCAACTTGCCCTAGATCTCCTACTCTGATCTTAAAGGGACTTCCAGGAATATGGCTGCCATTGAAGCGCACATCAATGGAATGGACTCCATTTTCTCTGGGGATAAACCTGATAGCATACTGGTCTGTAGAGAATGGAAAAAAGATAACTTCACTAATTCCAAGTAAAACAGTTCAGCTGGCCTTTTGAATGACAATGTGTAAAGCATAAAATTATACATTTATTCAATAGTACAGCAATAACAGGGTATCACCTTTGTCTAGTTCTGTAATATAGCATTCTTCTATAGCTCCAGATGGTGTGTGGATCTTGGCATCAACTAGCCCTCTAACTCCATTCAGTTGTACAGCAAAAGAGGCTTCCTGACCCACCACCAATCCCATCTCCTACAGAGCACATTGACAAATAGTATATATAGTATATATATCTATTTTAAACCTCTTCAAATAGAAGACATCTTGATTCAACTTTTCTCACCTGCAAACTGGTGACTGTGAGACGACGGGCATCATCTGACAGTGTAGCAACTGGGACAATAAAAGGAGAATCTGGGATGTGCTCATCATTAAATTTAATAGATACCTCATAATCTCCTGGAATACAAAAAACAGAATATGATACAGATCCTTGTACTTTCTACATGCCAATATGTCATTCTATAAATAATTATTTTCTCTTAAATTAAATTCTCACCAGGCTCCTGAACTACGTAGGACACACCACATGATCCATCCTTTCTATCTTCAAAGGTGATCTCGGCCTTGCTGGGTCCCTCCACAGCAATGGACAAACCGCCAGCTCCTGCCTCTCGGGTCCAAATACTGAACTCAGCTGCAGGACAACAAGAACAGCACATTAATCCCTGGATAACTCCACAGAGAGTAAAAAACTAAAACAATACGCAAAAGCAAACTATTTGGAGAGTAAAAGAATACCTGGGATCCCTGCCACTCCTCTGTCCAAACCAGTGCCCCCTGCCCGGACTTTATGTGCCCCTCCCTCACCCAGGGGTCCCACAGTAAATTGGAAGGGGCTGCCAGGGACGTGCTGCCCCCTGTATTTGACATTGACTGTGTGAGGTCCCATTTCCTGAGGGATGAAGCGGACACTGTATGTGCTGTCCTCTCCTCGGATGATCTCGGCCTCCTCAGTTTTGCCGCTAGGACTGGTCACCTGAGCTGTCATTTCCTGGTTTGCAGCCTCACCTGCACAAGATAGAGAAATGGTTAAGGTTCAAAATATGCAATACTAAGTTTATGAAAAAAACAACAAACAACATCAAGTTTTAAAAACACAAAAGAGATGCAGAGATTAAACCATGAAGATATGTACAAACAAATAATGTTAATGATAATGTTATTTTTGGGTGAGAAGAAAACAATGCAATGCAAATTAGAAGCATGCTCTTTGATCGACTAAAATATGCTGATTCTTAGTCCTCTATAAAAACAGCTGAATAATATTTTTCTTTCCATTAGATTTACACAACACACTTGTCCACACACCATCCTGCAGTGGTGGTCTGCTACCAGCTGGCATTCCGCTGAATCCACTCAGAGCATCACGGCCGAGGAAGTCTCCAAACACGTCCCTGAAGGGATCCCCTCCCACCTGGGTGCTCTCCTCCACTCGGACCTCCCTCTTGGTCTCACCTCCACGAGTTTTACTGATCTCTGTACGCTCTGTACGTGTGTATGTGTGGCTGCTGCGAGTGAAAGTCCGGGTCACACGCTCCTGAGCTGAAACCATCTGAAACCAGTTTCCTACAAATGAAGCAGGAAGTGAGCAGGGGACAGAGCCGGGGCTGAGGCGCACCATGGGAAAAAGAAGGAACGGAAAGGACAGGAAGTACAGACAGGAAGCACTGATTTCCCAGCTCACCTGGTATTTTAAGGTTGAGGTCACAGGTGCTACCCACAGTGGCAATAGAGGGAGCCTGTCGCCTTCTGGTGATGCTTTCCTTCATCCGACCCTCTCCAAACACTTTTACTGTGAATGGACTTCCTGTTGGTCATAAATACTTTGTAAACAAACCCTAACAATCATTAATCAAGAAGGAAAACTTTTTGGGCAGTGTCTAAACCTGGAACATGCTGGTCAGCAAACTTAATGTTGATGATGTAGTTTCCAGGCTCAGTGGGACAATATGTGACCTTACATGTCCCGTCCTCCACATCCTCACAGTTAATGTCCACTTTACTGGGACCTTCAATAGACAGCCCCAAACCTCCATAGCCTAAAATATAGTTTGTTGTAAAAAAGAAATATGAATATAGTATATAATAAATGCATATTAAAACAAAAACAACCAAAGATGGTTGTGTTACCTGCATTTCTGGTATCAACAATGAACTCTGCCATTTCCAGAGTGTGGCCCTCCACTAGGCCCTGGCCATATACCTTGACCTTGCTAGCGTCACCGATCTCCGATTGTCCAACCATAATTTTAAATGGGCTGTTGGTCACATGTTTTCCATTCTTCTTCACACTCACTACATGTTCTCCCACTTCTTTTGGCGTGAAAGAAATGCCTATAAATAAAATAGTTGTTCCTTTGCTATTACATATGCTAACCAGCAATGTTACTGTAAAATGAGGAAATACAAACTACACAGACAGTAAACAGCTTACCAATGTGGCGGTTGGGCAGTCTTTTGAGCAGACAGGGTTCCTCATTTCCAGATGGAGCTCTAATACTTGTGGTCAAACTGCTTAAGTCTGTCTCTGTGATCTTTAGGGACACATCTGTAGCTGTGCCAACATTCAGCTGAGACATTCTCATTGAGTCATCTCCTGAATATGACAAAACACACAATAAATTCAGAAAGAGTTCATTAAATGTCAAAGGTGACTTCTACTGAGTTTGCACCTGTGATCTTAGCAGTGAAGGGGCTGCCCGGGATGTGTTTATCATCAAACTTGACAATAATGTTGTAGTCCCCGGGTGCAGTGGGTAAGTAGGAGACGGTGCATGTTCCATCTTTGTTGTCTTTACAGCTTATTTCTGCTTTAGAGGGACCTTCCACAGCCAGTGATAGACCACCTACAAAAGAGAGATATTAACATGAATCATTTTAGTTTATTCTATTATTTTAGTAACTCTTATGTTGTGTATTACCTTCCCCTGCATCCTTAGTAACAATGGTGAAAGCAGCTGGTCTGTTCACCATACCATGACTTAGACCAGGACCATAAGCTGTGACATGACCACTGTTAATGGCGTCCACATAAAATTGGAGTGGACTTCCTATTACCAACAAAATGTCAATTAACACATAATAAGTATGTGCAAACTGCTTAAATGCAGACAATACATTTTAGGTTACCTGGGATGTGATTTCCATCATATCTGATGTCCATCTCGTGCAGGCCTTTTTCAGTAGGAGAGTATTTCACAGTTACAGTTCCATCTTTGTTGTCCGTGATATAGGGGCAGGCAGTTCGACCAGAGGGCATCCGCACAACACCTAAACAACATGAAATGATGCTCAAACTTAATGTAGAATCAGTTATGAGTTTCAGTTACACGAGAAAAGGTACTGCTACTGTTTCTGCTATAGCTGAATACCTGTAATCTCTCCCTTTTGCACAGTGAAAGGAATTACTAGGCTGAAGGGGCGGAGCACAGCCTCCATCCCATCCCCAACACTGATGGGATCATCAGTGGCCTGCACCAAAGGCAAAAGGAAAGGGCATTAGTCACATACTGGGAGTTCTGGGACAGTGTCCAGACAGAAGAGGAAGCTTCACAGCAGAGAGTCACAGTGAGGCACAGACTGGCCAAAAAGAGTCATCAGATGGTTTTGAGTATGAACCAAAACACTTGCAGGAAATAAGACATTAAATGTGATGTATGTTTACATGGGTCTTAGCAGAGGCAGCTATGATGCAGCAGACAAGATTGTCATGCAAGTCTCAAGCTGAGCATAACATTTAAAGCCACATGACTGTGAGTTGTAATGGTGACACTTTGCTGTACTGAGATGATGAAGGACAGTTTGTAGGAGCCAGAATGGCCAAGAGGAAAAGGTTGATAATATTGTACCCATGAAGGGGATAAGCCCAAATAAGGAGAGTAGGGCGGATGCATTTGAAGCTTGTCACATGGTTCTTCAATCATTGGTATAGTTTCACAGGCCTGTCAACGGGAAGCAAGGTAAAGTTTTTAAGCAAACCATCATGGGCATAGTATTATGGAAACCACTGAGTACTTCTATTTTTATGTTTTTTTTCACATTTGAATTCACAATTTTGCAGTACAAACTTTTCACCAACAGGTGTCATCCTTGTCCCCATAACAACAGAGAGACTCACCACCACATGGAAGGGGCTGTTGGGGATGTGTTCCCCTCCAAATCGGATTGTGATCACATATTTCCCTGGCTCTGGTGCTGTGTAGTAAATGTCAAAGGTCCCGTCTGCATTCTCCACCACATCTACATCCAGCTCAGCACCATCAGGAGTGGACACTTTACAAGTCACTTTGCCTTTCCCAGCAGCCTTTGCATCCACAGTGATGACTGTCTCCTCACCAATCTGAATGGTCGGGCTTACTCCTGAACCTTATGATAAACATTTTCAAAAAGTCAATATTTTGATATTCAAGCTAAATCAATAAATATGTGTATGTTATGAAAACCACTGACCTGGTCCATGCCCCCCAATAGACACTATATGACAGAAAATCCCACAGTTAGACATTTAATTGTGAAAAAAAAATGTCATTGTGTTTAGCTTGACTAACCTGTGACCAGACATTTGCTAGCGTCTCCTGTGGGAATGGCATGGATACGGTATGGTGAATAAGGAATCTCATCTCCTCCATATTTGATAGTGATGGTGTAGCGCCCAGTCATGTCAGGGACATAAGAGACTGTATAGGTCCCATCCCGGTTGTCTCTTATATTTGCCTTCTTGGGTTTCCCCTCAGGATCCTAAGGACATGAGTAGCAGTGTAATACAAACTTGTACAAATAGTCAAAAGGCCATCACTGGTCTCTCAGCAGGAGCCAAAACTCCTCATCTGTGGTGCCAAGAGAGATAAAAATTTGATAGCATGTAAGACTCATATTAAAGAGTGTAATTTAAAAAAAATTTAATGATATAGACATAAATTTGCTGTAGAGAAGTCTCATTTTACCTACAGAATCCTCTATAGCTATAATAAAACAAGACTTTTAAATGAAAGCATCACAAAGTTCGGTTTTCAAAAAGCAAATTTCCTTTACTGAAAAAAATTAACTCCTGTCATTGAGACCAGTGTTGTGAGTGTCTGTTACATATTTCACAAAGAAATCACACGCAAGAATTAAATCTATTTAAAATGCAGTAAACATTTGGTCAACACACATTTGGAGGCAGTCCCTAGTTAGACAAATCAGAAAATTCTCCTGTTAGCTTATCAGGCAAAAGCAATGAAGGTAAGTGCATAAGAACGCCACAAAAGGGTATGATGGCTATTTTTAAAATCATATTTAATCTAAAACAATGAAAATATATCCATGAATACTTGTAATTTGTTTGAAAGTAGGTATTACAATGGTTGGCTGAACACTTGGGAAGGAGGAGTGAGGAGAGAGACATAAGACATGGTGAAGGGGTGAGTGGGAGAGGGTCGGAGCCTTACGCTGCCTTTCTTAAGAATATGGAAGGGGATGGTGCCTTTTACTATATGTGACTCCCACACCCTCCTGCCCCAGTCCTCCACATAAACAGAGGCCTCGCGAGTGCACCCATCAGGACCCTGCAGCGGGACACCCCCAACAAAATACCAACAGGCGGGATAAGCACAGATCGAATCACACCAAGAGTGAGTGACACAGACAAAGACACTAGAGAGATATATGAATCTAAATGAGGCATTTCTATGTGACTTACCAATATCTGAACAGTGAGCAGTCCCTCGCCTGCATCCCTAGCATCAATAGTGAACTCCACAGGTAAACTGGCTGGGACTCCTGATGAATTCAGTCCCGGACCACTAGCACGAACTTTACTGGCATCATGAGCCGGCAGTGTTTTTATTTTGAAAGGGCTGAGGAAAGGTTGAATTATAGTCTTGCATTTCATAAACATTTATCTGTGATGAATCTAGACTCACTCACTGCTTACCTGCGAGGGACTTCCTGGTCAGCGTATTTGACACACACTGTGTATGGACCATCAAGGGCAGGTGTGTAGTTCACTGTGTAAGTTCCATCCCCATTGTCTGTGATGCTCACTGGTTCTGTAAGACCTATGCAAGACAAAAGGAGGACAAAATCCACCTCACTCGAGTGATACTGAGACTAAAGGATTAAGATGTTCAAAAAAGGAATCTTCATTCTTTACCTGTTGGCCCATACAAGAGAACCTCTAATGGGGCCATCCCAGCTTTGCTAGTGTCAACAGTGAAGGTCTGCGGAACCTGGGCCCGGACCCCATTTCCAAGTCCTGGACCTGAGCACCGGACTTTACTTGGATCCACCACCTCCCTCACAGGCACCCGAAATGGACTCCCTGCAGCAAAAAATTTAGGTGTTTTTATTGTGTACTAGAATGTACAGAGTGGGCCTGCAGGTCAATGACCTGGGATAGGCAGTCCTCCAAAGGTAATGTTGACATCATATTCTCCAGGGGTAAAGGGGATGTACTCCACACTGCAGCTGCCATCTTTGTTGTCCTTACATGACATCTTTGCTTCAGAGGGACCCTCTATGGCTAAGCCCAAACCTCCAGTACCAGCCCCCCTAATAAGAGCAAAATTCCACAAGGACAAGCATTGAGAAAAATGTTACATATAATTTAACATTACATTAACATTACCTAGTCTCCACAGTAAAACGGTTTGGTTTGTTCACAAGTCCCTCTTCCAGACCAGGGCCGTAAGAGCGCACTCGACTGGGGTCACAACCCTCAGTAACGACAACTCTGAACGGACTGTTGGGCACTGGCACGTCGTCATACAACACTTCAATTAGATGCAAACCTACAGAAAGATATTCAAACATGTATAACTCTAAAATATGATTCAAAATAATACAGTATTGCATTAAATACAAGCAAGTGGCATCATCAGGCCAAGTTAGAAGGCATAACTCAATTCGGTAAGAATGCATGTTTTTTCAAATGAGATGGTCTAAATCTTCATTTTCAATTTCAAAATCTGAGAGCCAAAACATCTTGATTGCTCCAACAATGTACAGAGTACAGAGTTTGAGTAACAGAAACATCCACAATGAAATAAATGCTAGATTTAAGTGTTTAATGCCAAACTGTGGAACATTCCAGGAAGAGCAATAACATGTCATTGAAACAACCAGGTAGTGAACCACCTAGCAGAAAAGTTATGCAGAGCACCTTTAACTAAAGAAATAGAGATTATCAACCATGCATGCCAAATATTCATGCATTTTCCTTAGGAAACTTAAGGGCTTAAAGCTGCCACGTGCAGTAGCTGCTTTTTTGGAACACAAGAGATCTGCATTTCATCAAAAGACCAGTTTGAGCGAGATCCACAGTGAGTATTTCTGCCCCATACAAAGCAGAGGGCTCTGACATGTCACACATTACTATCAGTGGAAAACTATCTGGCTTCAGCTATTAATACCAGACAGTCTCCTTTCCCTCCCTCTTCCACTAGCTTTAGTATATGCATGAAGTCATTTTACTTTTAATGAAAACAAATTTAGTCAATTATAATCAAGAAAATAAGGTTATAATTTGAAAAATATCCAGTACTTTTGTGCTGAAAGCAGGACTTGGCAAAAAGAGTGTTTTTTACATATTGTTTTAGACTCCTGACAACATCTCAAGATTAAAATATTCTACAAATCCTACAAACACACACTGCATCAGTTATTTATTTTTATTTGTATTATTTATTTGTTTTGCTTAAAGCAACACCACACAACTTTCTGGAGTGGCACATCACCTGAATGACTCCACTGAATTAGAAAAAGAAACCAGACTTTAGAATATTTTCCATGGTGATAGATTTGTTTTATGACAAGACAGTGGAACAGTTAGATAAAGTTGGGTTTGTCAGGTTTGTGGAGATTTCAGTGCAAAAAACATCCAAAATGAAAACAAAATACATGTGTACGTATTTATTGGCCAAAAAGGTTACATGGTGGGGCTTTAAGATAAAGAATAACCCTGTCACTGTGATATTCCTTACCATCTTCATATGGCGTATACTCCACTCTGTAAGTGCCATCACCTTTGTCTGTAATGAAGGCATCTGTGGTGATGCCCGAGGGATTCGAGATGCCCACCTTGATGTGGTTTCCCCCAGTTTTACAATTAACTCTGGCATCTACAGTAAAATGTGTTGTTACTTCCTTCAACAGGCCTGCAGAGAGAAAAAATAACATAAAAAAGAAAAAAAACATTATTTAGACAGAAGACTTAAATGTGTAGTTGATTTCAATTGCTTAAATACAGATAATGTAACAAAATCAAGTAACATGACCTTACCTCTAGGTTCGACTCCTGGTCCGTACACCATGATGCCACTGGTGTCAATGGCTGGATCCACTTGCAATCGTGTGGGGAAGTTTGGCACAGATTGTCCTCCATATTTGATGGTAATGGTGTACATTCCCTGAAACTGTGGGATGTATGTGATGGAGTATGTGCCATCACTGTTGTTCTGCACATGGACCTCAGCTTTGGCCCCAGAGTCTGAGATGATTTCAATGGTGAGCTCTGCCTCTCCAGCTTTTGAACAGTCCACAGTAAAGAAGCCATCCTCATTAACTTTGCCCCGCTCCAGGCCTGGACCACTGGCGGTCACCTTGCTGGGGTCAAACACTGGCTGCACAGTTGCTTTGAAGGGGGACCCAGGGATGTGCTGGTCTGCAAACAATATGTTGATGGAGTATTCTCCAGGCTCAGTGGGCAGGTAGGATACCGAGCAGGACCCATCTCCATTATCCTGACATTCAATCTTAGCTTCACATGGCCCCTCCACTGTCAGACCAAGACCCCCTGTTCCAGCTCCTTTTGTGTCAATGGCAAATGGTGCAGGTTTACCCACCACACCGCCTTCAAGTCCAGGACCATAGGCTCGCACCTGGTGAACAAAATTGTAGTTCCTTGTGAACTCCAATCTGCTGCTTCAAACAAATGAGAAATTGATGGTATACGTGTATTTACCTTTGAAGGATCAGGAGGCATGACACCTTCCACAGAAAAGGGGCTACCTGGAATCGGGTTCCCGTCATAAGAGATGTCCATTCTGTAGGTGCCCTCCTCTGGTGGGATGTACTTTACTGTGTATGTTTCATTGCTGGAGCCAGACTCAAGTTTGCATGGGATTGGCCGTCGCGATGGAGAAGTTATTTTCACATCTAGTTTCCCTTGACCTCCAGCTCCTCTAGTGCAAACTGTGAACTCCTGATCCTTCCCAACGTCCACTTCTTTGAGAAAATAGACATAAATACATTACAATGCTACAATCTACAATTAAATATTATTTAACTTTGGTACTTACTGTTATTTAGACCTTGGACTTTGACCTTGTTGAGGTCTAGAGGAGGAGCCACACTGATGTTAAATGGGCTCTTAGGGATGGGGTCTCCACCATGACACACTGTGATAGACATGTTACCCTTTGAAACAACAGAAATCTATTAGCTTAAAGTCACAAAATTATTACTTGCGACACCCAGACCAGTGTTACCTGTTGGATAGCAGTGTAGCGGACTGTGTAAGAGTAGTCATGGTTGTCAATGATCTCAAAGTCACGCACGGCTTCACCCTTTACTGTCCCAGAAAAGTACACGTCAGGAATAGCTTTTCCTGCTCCTTTCGTATAAATGTTAAAGTGAGTCGGTTTTCCTACTTCAACTCCTAAAAAATTCAAATGAGACAAAGAATTTTTAGATGTACATATATATAATTGGTTTTAATAAAGAAACTATGTATCTGATTTGTACACATTTATGCACCTATCTTGTTGAGTCCTGGTCCCTCAGCTCTGACCTTTGCTGCATCATGAGAAGGATCTACTTTTATTCTGAAAGGGCTGATGGGGATTTCCTGTTACAAGGAAAAATATTGGCTTAATCAACAGCCTATTTCATCAGCGATTAATTTAATTTAATTTCTTCTTTTACCTGATCAGCAAACAGAACCATAATGGTGTATTGTCCAGGACCCGGAGGAATATACTTCACGGTAAATGTGTCATTGTCATTTTTAATTATATCAAAGTCGATATCAGCCTCTACAGGACCAACCACACCAGGGGCACACTTAATCCCAATGCTGACATCACCTGAAGAGAGAGAGAGAAATTGGTATTTAAACAGACACATAAAAATAATGAGATAAAGAAATAATCTTTTACCCTGTCCGGCCTCACTGCAGTCCACAGTGAAATAAGTCGGTTCATTAGACTTTAGTCCAAATTGTTCAACCCCTGGACCATACACTTTTACATTCTCTGGGTGACTGCCTTCACCAATAGTCACCTGTTTTTGAGAAACAAGCTAAATTAAATAAAATTTTCTCAATATACTATTTGGTGTAATACATCCACCAGTTTCTAATTGTGAGTTTTATTATTAATATAATTATTCTAGAAAAGAAAAGTGTCAAGTCTTGAGTATAACCACCTCAACATGTAAACTGGGTTAATTGTCACATTCAACCTAATAGGGCTTCTCACTAGCAGAATTTCCAAAACCTCACTTAAATGGGCTTAACTAAGGAAACAGTGATTTCATCACACACACATCACAAAGAAGATCAGATGGTTTGATTATCTTATGATAAGAAGTGTCAAAGCCTTATATATGAGGTGACATGCCCTTTATCAGTTGGCTACATTCACAATGTGCCTGAAATTGTGTTTCCTTACCCTGAAGGGACTTCTGGGGACATTGACTTCACCCCATGTTATGATTATTGTGTGTTTAATGGGCTTTGTAGGAATGTAGACACAAAAGTAGGTGCCATCACCATTATCTGTGATCTGTATGTCAATTGGAAAGCCTTCTGCATCCTAAAATATAATAAAAAATCATACAAGATAGTTATAGCTTTTAGTTTTATACATGGTAATAAAAACAAACCACACACTGGCATCTGACCTGTGCATATAACTTCAATTCTCCACCACCAGCTCCATGTGTATCAATAGTAAATTCGGCAGGTTTGCTGACAATACAGCCTATTGGTTCCAGACCTGGGCCATAGCAATTTATCTAAAGAAAGTAATACCTGTTAGCTTTCCAATAATATTAGAAACAAAAAACTTCTAAACTAACCTTTTCCGGAAAGATGCTGGAAGCAGCTGGGAGAATATGTGCCATGAAGGGACTGTCTTTAATGTCCTCATCGTCACATATGACATGCACAGCATAGTCCCCAGCTTCAGTGGGCCAATAGCGCACATCACAAGAGCCATCCCCTTTATCATCACACTCTATCTTGGCTTGAGATGGCCCCTCAATGGAGAAACCTGTGAATCAGAGGAGTTTTAATGTACTGACGGAAATATAAAACAATTATAGACAATAGTTGATTAAATTCACATACCAAGCGTTCCAACCTCCATACCAATGGCTTCTACCACAAAGTCAGCACTTTTCCCCACCATGCCTGTTTCCAGACCAGGACCCCAAGCACGTACTTTCTGAGGGCCAGCCTCCTCACTGACATACACCTCAAACGGGCTGTGAATTATATGAATGTTATGATTGCAGGAACACCAGGAACACCTGTACTGTACATGTGAGGGTCCAAACAGATGTTGATGGGACGTGTCTCACCTGCGAGGTATGCTGTGTCCTCCCCAGGTGATTGTAACTATGTATTTGCCAGTGTTGACGGGATAATAGTTACATTCATACAGCCCATTCTCCAACTCCAACACCTTGACCGGTTCATCCAGCCAATCTACAATCAAACACCCATAAACTCACAGGCTTATTGTTTTATTGCTACATTCCTTCATACTTTGATGTCTTACTTGGTCCTTTCACAGTGACTTTGAGCTCGCCGCTGCCAGCTCCTTTTGTGTAAACTTTGAAATCTGCCACTTCTTTGACTCTCACACCCTTTGGCTGCAGACCTCTGCCAGACGCCCGGCAGGCATTTGGATTACAAGCTGTGAGGAAAAAGCACATGTTATATGAGAGTTATTACAGAAAAAATACAACTAATTTTTCACTGCACATTCAACACTTTTGAAATAAATGGCTGTAGACTGTCTCGGCCGTTAGTCAGCTGAACAGAACTGGGAGAAGCATTTTGTTGCTGAAAAAGGAAAAGCAGCAAGAATGAAATAGTTGTTAAGAAGCTGTTAAGAACTGCAAGAGTTTGTTATGAGAGAAAACAGTAACTGCTACTGCAGTATTAACAGTAGATCTAAACATTTACAGATTTGGTCATGAAATGATGAAAAATAAACAATAAAATGAACAATAAATGTTGTATTTTGGCAACAATTCCAGAAGTGAGCATGATAATATTTTTTTCAAAATGAGGAATCATTTTTATAAGAATTATTTAAACAGAAAAACTTTTGGACTTGTTTATTCTGACAACTTGAGAGAGCTCACACATTCACTCTGACGACAGAGGGCTGTTCAGTGAAGCAGGCGCCAGCACATGCTGTAAAGCTGAGGACCCCTCAGAGGAGTCAAGGCCAGATTGAGTGGGAAAAGAAAGTGGACTAGCGCAGCAGGCTCCAGTGACATGCTCCTCCCCTTTACTAACTTGGTCGCCTGGGTTTGGGAGGGGTTGGAGGGGGAGCTCTTCTGGTCTTGTCTGAGGGTGGAGTGCGCACAGACTCAGGCATAGCCTGCACAGGGGACCCAGCTGAGGGGCTTCTCTGTGAAACTGGAGGAGGTAAGAGTCATGATGATTAAGAAAAGACTGAGGCCTCCAGGCCAACTGTGCAGCAGTCATATCATCCACTCAAGGAAAATATTTGACATAATAAAATGGCCTCATACAAAGAATACATGGTACATCAAACTTGTTTTCTGGGTTTCTTTAATGCTGAATGTGATCTAAATAACAGTGGAGGCATCTTGAAAGATAAATCTATATATTTCAGGATGAGTGAGCCTCTGAAGAAAAGACCTTACCAGTCAAGTGCTATTTTATGATTGTGGTGGGGAATGGCATTTTCAGGATTAGGCTCCAAACACAGTTATTAACATAGCAAGTTCAATCCAAAAACAACCAAAAGTCTCATTGTGGTTGGGCTTAACAGAACTAAAAAAAACATGAATGCAAACTACATACATACCTGAGCTGTGTCCTAATAAATAACACGAAGAAAAAAAACTGATAAAAAGTAATTGATTTAGAGGAGCTTACCTTCAGAGATATGAACAGTGAATGGACTTTTAGGAATCTGTTGTCCAGCAAAAGTCACATAAACTGTGTGGGCTCCTTCTAAAACAGGAACATAGGTGCAGCGGAAAATACTGTCCCCTTTGTTCTCTAGAACTATCTCCACTGTGTCTCTGCGTCCATTAGAGTCCACAATAATGACGCCCACATCTCCAGCTCCGGCTCCTGTTGAACACCAAAAACAATAAGCCCAAAATTCTCCATAGTTTGCAATATATATTTCTTTTACCTGCTGTGTAAATGTCAAAGTATGTGGGCTTGTTGGCTACATTGCCTGCTGGCTGAAGTCCCGGCCCTCGAGCCTGGACTCTGGTGGGGTCACCCATGGCTTTTGACACTGTAACCATGAAAGGACTTCTGTCTATGTCTTGTCCAGCAAACAACACCTTTACCTGTGAGGATGCAAAATAAACAATTCAGTACAGTGGCAAGTCTTTGTATGACTTTGTAATCTAAAATATAGCTTTACCTTATGCAGTCCCTCAACTTTGGGCAGATATACCACAGAATAGGATCTGTTCTTGTCATTGTTTGGGATAACTCTGGCCTGAAAAGCATAAGATATGATGATAATTATGATGATGATGATGATGATGATGATGATATCTATACCACTACTATTATTACAATTATTATCTCAATTACTATGTTACTACTACTAGTATTACTGCTACTTCTACAACTCATGTATGTAATCTCACCTCTTCAGTGTGTCCCTCTGGGTCTTCTACATAGACTAGAACCTCTCCCAGTCCAGCCTCCACAGTCTCAACCAAAAACTCTGCAGGCTTCAAAACCATATTTCCTAATGGCTCAATACCTGGGACAAAAATACAATATTATTAGTAAAACATGAAAAGTTTTTGCTTCAGTTTAGTTTATATTTGTTGGTTACCTGGCCCATATGCTTTGGCCCTTTTGGGATGCAGTGTCTTTGCTTTCAGTGGAGCACCAGGCTTCAATTTAGATTTAGGGAACTGGGACAGGTAGGTCATGACTGAATGCTCATCCACATTAGGATCAACAATTTCTTCAGGAGCAATGACCTGAAAACAGAGTGTAGCATCTCAAAAGGAGAAGTCTATTACTGATAAATACACAAATTTAGAAGTAACTTTACTTGTGGCACTCCAAGCCAGTCATCAGCCTGCTGCATGGCCTCTCTGGCATTCTCCACAGGCTGACTGGGATCCCAAGTTTCCCAGTCCGGACATAGACCTGTTTGAAAGACACAAATTTTGTTAACATACATTATTTTACCACTTTTTGGGCCCTTTTGTTAAATTACCCGCCCCTTGCTTCATACCTGGGGCACAGTTATCCACCAGAGCTCCCAAGGCCTTGCCATCCCTCCAGTCTCTGTGGAAGTTAGTTATGGGGAGTTGAGGCACTTTGTTCTGGATCCAGCCCAGCAGACGCTGTTTTGGGGTTAGCTTCTTGGCATCTTCATCATCTTCATCGTCCCACATGGGCATGGAGATAGAGTAGTGGAGGATCAGGGTCCAGATTAGACCTAAGATTAGCTTTAGGTTCCCATCTACGATGGCTTTAGAATCTGGAAAGTACAGAAATGCAGATGTGATGTTTTTAGGGTTGTAAAAATGTATGTGAAAACACAGGGGCTGACACATCTGTTTACAAACCGTGAAACTGAATTGGTGGAGAAATTTATCCTGGAAAGGAACATGGTTTTGCAAATGGCCTTTTGTTCTGTAAAAGCTTCATGTAATAAAATCACTGTGACAGGTTTATAACGGCAGAGTATGAGCAGTTAGGGTTAGGGTAGTTTGTGGTGAGCTCTGCAATGAGAACATAATGGCTTCCCCAGCTGTTGTCAACAGTGCTCAAAATGCTTTCAACTTTGAACAATTGGGGGTTGTTTAAAACTCAGTATAAACCAGGAGCTACTTCCCTTCCTTAATACAGTATTTCATTTCCTGTTACCACTCATCAAAATAAGACTAAGATGCATCACAATGTTTATCTTTGGGATGTCTGGAGCATAGTTTTAGTTGTATGTCAGCATTCTCAGTAATGAGAGTGATTCTTCTATTGACAGCACATGATGATGTCATACAATACAAGCTCCGGTCTGAGGAATGAGGTCAGTTTAAATAGGAAACACATGACACAGAGCTGTATATCTCAGCACCAGACAAGTTCCTTGAGTTTTCCATTGTATCCTTCAGCACTGATGACTCTTTCTGTTCAACGTGAGCCCAAACCAGCAGTGACTCATGGTTCTGACTTCTACGCTCTAGTTTTCAGACCGTAATGTTTTCACCACATCATTTGATTTAAAAAATGACAAATCCCTGGTGGGATGAAATGAATGAAAGACAACTATATTATAACAACTATATATTATAACTATATTATTATATATTATTATATTATTGGAACTCTCTAGATGCATGCCAACTTTCTCATGTTTGGTAAATCGTGGACTCCAAACAGTTGTGGAATGTAATGAAATAAAAGAAGTAAAGCATTGTACTAAAGTAATAAGGTATCTGTATTTTACTCAAGTACATTTTAACACGGATACTTTTTATTGTTACTTCACAACATTTGAGAGCATGTATCTGTACTTTCTACTCCACTACATTTTTTTTGGGATTGAAAAGTAAAAGTATATTGTATAAAAGTATCACAATAAATAAAGAAAAGTAAAAGTATCAGCTGAAAAGTCTGGGGAGTTATTTTTAACAAGTTCATAGTTTGAGCAAACTAACATATACAAATAAAAATAGCTAAAAACAACAACAACAACAACAACAACAGCAAACAATTCAGTTGTTTCTACTGAACAAAATTCAGCACAAATCCTTACCAACATCTCTGCAAGTTTTATTAGCTCTCAGAACCTGCATGAAATACCTTTACGTTTACTCTTTAAGTACATTTTTAAACAGTACTTTTACTTACGTTGATTTTTTTCATGAGATGCTTTGATTTAAGTATTTTTACTCCAGTATCTGTACTTTTTCCACTACTGACTCTAAATAGCTTATAGCAATTGAAAAAAAAAAGATATGCTGCTTACAGTTCAGTATATATATATATATATATATATATATATATATATATATATATATATATATATATATATATATATTATATATATTTTTTTTTTTTTTTTTTTAATGAATTCTCTACACTCCACTCCACTTTACTACTGCAAACATCCTAAGTCGATTTCA